CCTTCTGACTAAAATTGTCCTCTTCCAATTCCAGCATTTATTAAACTGCAGATACTACGTTAATATTAATTCTCTTTAAGTAATAAAATATTTCCAGAGTATGATTTTAAATTCTCACGACAGTTGGAAGTCACTTGCATTTGAGATAAGCATTGCAGATAAGCTCTTACTAGGTAAGAGCTACTTTAAATTTTGTCTTTTGTCACCACCTGGTGGTAAAATGTTTTTTCACTTCTTTTTTTTTTCCACATTAAACTTTGTTGTTGCTAAGGAAAATCTCTAAACTAAACCAGCTAACTTTAGTATTGATAGTCAAGTATTAATGTCTACTAAACACACTGTATATGCTTAATAAATATCTATTAAATAAATGTTTTTATCTGTTTTAGTGGATTGCAATGTCTATAATCTTTTCCTTTGAATTGTATGAGCCTCTCAAATATGACAAATGAAAGTGGTCCACGGTATTATCTCATCAGAGGTAGTTTCTTTTTTTAAGGTGTAATTGATTTTTGGTTTAGGCTAATAGAGCTACACGATTAAAAAGTAGTTGGTTAAATAAAGTATTTTATTATTCGTTTAAGAATGTAAATACATTTAACACTACAATATTTAAAATTTTTTTCCATGATACCAAGAGGTAAGAGAAAATTTGATGAAAATTTCTTAAATATGACTGAAAAGATGTAAAACTTTTGCAAATTCCCAGCTTGAACTATTAAGAAAAATCGTTACAAGCACATCATTTGTTGTAGACTATCGCCACCTTGTGGTTTAGAAAGTTACTAGAGGCTATGAATTTTTTAAGGTGGAAATTTTTCATTGTCAAAAAATTTCTATTTATAATTAAAATGAAACTTAATAATTGGAAACAATATCAATCACGAGTCTGAAAACATAATTACCTACCAAGAAATAGGTAGGTTAAAATTTCAATAGACATTTAATTAAAAATTATGAGTCAGAGTCAATTCTAAGCCCCCAATTTTACTGTGGCTATGACATCTTGTGCAAGTTACTTAACCTTTTTGACTGAGGCTCAATTCTGCATCTCTTAAACAAAGGGAGTGGATTAAACAGATCACACTCCTCTCAGTTCTGTAATGCATGATTTGGATAACAATTTTAAGTCTAAATGCAATTTACAATAATTTTTCTGTCTTCAATATTTCGTGTAATATTTCTGTGTATAAATTTTGCTTAAAATAGATGTTTTCTATCTACTTTCACATTTATGATCAAGAAACGTTTGTCCAATATTAGTTACCATATGTTCCCAAAAGCAACACTAATGCCAAACAACTTTCCCATTTCTAATTGGTAAATCCTATGGTATAAAAAATTGTAATAAAAAGCATTCCATGCTTATAAAATATGCACATTAATAGTTTCTCTACATGATGTGTACACTAAAACAATTCTAATTGCTCTTGTACATTACCAGATCCCCTCATTTCAAGGCTAATTGTTGAATGGTTACTTTGGTGTAGACTTCGTGAGAATTATGAATAGAATATTGTGCCTACAACATATGAATCAGTGAGACAAACGCATAAGGTATAATAGAAATTAATACCTTAATGTTTATTTCTTTCACTTTAAAATTTAACAAAACTTTTTCCCTTTTTAGGAAGTCTCTCTGTTCATAGAGGACCAGAATGCTTTTACAATGTCAAACTGTTGACTATGCCAGTAGTTTTATATGAAATATTTTAACTTTTGTTACGTAATAGCAAAAACTAGTTAATGTCTATAAATAAGAGCATATTAAGATTAACCTTTACATAAGCCCATATGTACTCTATAAAAAGAAAACCAGAAATATGGGGAGTAAGGATTAGGATAGCATGTGATCTTTTGGGTGTAAATTCAAATCAAGGAACAAAAATTTTACAAGGACTGGAGTATGAAATCTCTACAAAACTCCCATACATGTCACTTTTACTAGGGCCATGTACAATTTTTACTCCTGTGGTGTTGTTTCTATATTCCAATGTTTATTCAATTCACATTTTGGTTATAAATATGTCTATATTTATACGTATATATTTGCCTAATACCACAAATGCCTGAAGAGTACTGATCTTAAAAAAAAAAAGAAAAAGAAAAGGTAAGTGGATTAAATGTTCTTCTGAGCATGGATGGAGTTTTTCAGCTTAGTAATTGGCAAATCCTACATTCATGTCTCTGTTGAAGCGATTAAAAAAGAATCATTTCCCAGAACTACAGGTGCACAACAGATTGGAGTCATTATGCAAAAGAACAGAAATCTGGAGAGAAACCCAGAGAATAAAAAAGTCATGTTCCCGGCCATCCTTTTGCCTTTAACTCACTTTTTTTTCCAGCTCTGTTTATATATACAACATGAAATATGAAAAAAAATTATAATGGATTTGAAGTAACTCATTCAAGACTAGAAATGTATACCTTGAATTAAACTTCCAATGAAAACACACTGTAGGTAGAAATGGACTAAACATCAAACTTGCATTAATGTATTTTAAAAGCTAAAGTTATGTAGGAAAGTTGATAAATTGAAATATATTATGTGACTTTTTTTTAAAAGTTATACATTTTTTGCCTATCTTGAGTTTCCCTTCCTGCCCCAAATCAAGGAAATCACATTTAAGTTCACTGATCTGGTAGCCACCTCGGTCCCCTCAACTATTCAAAATCTCTATCTCAAAACCAGAGACTGCAACTACTGGTCACCATATATGGGCTTCTGTGCCCTCTTCTAAGCAAGAGGTTCAAAAATGTATTGATGGTTTTGCCATCGTGTTTTCATGATTCATAGTCAATAGCTTGTAAGTCTGAAATGACTTCCCATATACATTCTCCCAAGTATCTAACCTTTCTTCTAGCTAGAAAGCAAAAACACGTGAAATGACATAAAATGAAATCATGAAAAAAGAGAATGTTAAAGAACTACGGTAACAGAAAAGAACAATGTAAACAATGTCTGGAAACCAAACTGGGCGTTAGGGATGTTGAGATGTTTGAGAAGAGACACTTGGGAAGCAGAGAGAGCAATCCTCTTAGTTTAAAGACGAAGAGCAGTTAAGCCGGGCGAGGCAGAAACAGAGGGGCCACTTGCGAGTGTGGACGTCAATGTTAAGTTTCAAGGAGAACTGGGATGAGGAGAGAGGGCTGCAAAGTAGAGAGACTTGGTGAAAGCAGATAGGCAAGAACACAATAGCAAAGTGTTAGAAGGCGGGAAAGTAGAAGAGCCAATAAAAGGGAAAAACTGGTGCTGCAGATACGTTACGCTGCGGTTAAAATGTGTCTTAAGTCCTGGGTTGACCATTCAACGTGAAACTGTGAGGGTGATCTCAGGAAGCCAAAATGACATGAGAAAGCACCCAAGCACGAGGCGTGGGAACCTAAGGAGTTGTGAGTAAGCCTTTTCAGGAGAGAAGCAGGTTTTCCTCCCTCTGCCATTCTTGCTCATCTGATCTTCCCTCAACAGCGGAGAGCAAAGGTTTTGTTTCTCAAGTAGGCAATCTAGAACGCTGAGAGAAAAGGAAGAAGTAGGAAAGTATCCCGAAAGAAAAGTCTGGAAGAGGGACGTGTTGGAGGACTGAAGGGGACGCTTCTGTCTGGGGCCGCCTGAAGAGGGGAAATTCTGGGGAGGAGCAAGGAAAGGGCCGAGATCAACTCGGAGCCAAGCGAGGGACGGATGGGGGTGGGGCGGCGGGGCGCGAGGCCGGGCCGGGCGCGGAAGTGGGAGTGCGCGAGTGTGCGGGACACGGGTCTGCCCCGAGACTTGGGCGGCCGTTCTCACTATTGTCCCTGAGGCTTTCCGCCCGTGAAGGCATTGTGAAACACTTCCTTCCCCTGGGTCACTGAGCCCCTCCCTCTTTTTCGAGGGGAGAGCTGCTCAGCCTTTTCTTAGGGCCCTGGAAGGTGGAAAGGCTCAGCTTTCCTCGCTTTCGTAACGCGGACGCAGCCTTTTCCCTTCCTGGTAGGAAGAGGAGGGAGGGGTCGGGGAAGGAAGACGATTTCCCCACTGCACACTTTCTAGCCCCAGAGATCGCCTCTGGCCCCTGTGTAGGAAAGTGAGATTTTTTTTTGGACGTTTCTGCCACTCTGGCCTACGGCCTGCAGCTGCTGTTGGGTGGAAGTACGCACACTGGCGGGAGCTGATTATTTCTCTAATGAAGAAGAGAAAGCACAGTTCCCTCCTCAGGCTGTAGGGAATTGAGCCCCGTGCCAGATCACCCATTCTGGAAATGTGAAACCAAGTCCCCGCAACGTCGTCTCTGGGGCAGGGGTTGCGTGTGGCGGAGGTGTCTGTGGGGGTGGGGATGAGGTGCGGTGCTAACGCTCTTTACAATCCAGAGCCAGACAAGTGTCACCTGGCCCCCTCCCCCAGGCGTGCTTTCTATGGGAAGCGCAGGGCCAACCAAGCTTTCCCCGGGAAAAGTTAGGGCAAAGAGAGCAAGCTGGAGCTAACAAGCTCGTGGCAGACTGGAGAGATGGAGAGGTGGGGTGGGGTATTTTTCTAGAAAGGGTAGCCCTGGCTCATCTTCCAGATTGGAGAAGAGGGGACCGAGGGAGAAGGGAAGGGGATTCGGGGCAGCTCCGGGGAAGGGGAATGTTGGAGAATGGACTTAGCTCTCTACCCCAACACTCCCTCCTGGGAACTGCAGCCCAGCGCGGGCACTGCGTTACCGCACCAGAGGGGCAGCTGGAAGGGAAGGTGGTCCAGGAAGCCGGCGCGGGGAGAAGCGCAGCGAAAGGGAGAACCTTCTCCCCAGGGCGGCCCAGGCGGTACGAAGTGCTGGTCACAGCGCCCCTTGTGCGTCTTCCGCCCCCAGATTGACGAGCAGTGGCTTGGAGCCAGCGAGGAGGCTGCCCCCTCCCCCGCCAGAGCCCGCGGTGCAGAGCGCGGTTTAGCACCGACTGAGCTCAGGGGGCGGCGTCTTTGGGATGGAAAGGCGGCCAAGAGGGAGGGGGGGCCGTCTTTCGGGGACTATAAAAGGGCGGCTCGGGTTGCCCGATTCTTGCACTCGCTGGAAAGCGGCTCCGAGCCAGGGGCCATCGCAAAGCCAGGGTGCGCAGCCCGGCGGAGAGGGCAGAGCCCTAGCGCAGAGCGAGCAGCACCGCAGCCCAGGCGGAGGCCGAAGAGGGGCACCAGGCACCAACCCTCGCTTTGCCTCAGCTCTGGAGGCGCCCCAGAGCGCTTCTTGTCCCCGCAGCAGCCTCTCCGCCTGCTCCCAACGCGCGGTGCCTCCAACTCTGCGCTGGAAGAAAAACTTCCCGCGCGTCGGCAGAACTGCAGCGCCTCCTCCTAAGTGACTCCGGGAGCTTCGGCTGTAGCCGGCTCTGCGCGCACTTTCAAAGACTAATAGTAATTGTTAACTTTAACAATCCAGAGTGAGGCCAGCGGGGCTCTGCTCTCCCGACCCGACCAAAAGCTCTCTCGCTCCGCGCTCTGCTGCGCGCCGTGTCTCCCAAGGCTCTGATGCAGCGAGCGGTCCTCGCAGGGTCCCGAAGGCGCAAGCTGGGCGGCGACATGGGGAACGCGGAGTGGGCGCCGCGGTCTTGGAGCTTTAGGCCCGCGCCCACGCTGCTGCTGCTCGCTGCGGCCGCAGCTCTGCTAGCAGTGCCCGGCGCACGCGGGCGCCCCGCCGAGGAGGACGAGGAGCTGGTGCTGCCGGCGCTGGAGCGCGCCCCGGGACTTGGGACCACGCTCCTCCGCCTGGACGCCTTTGGCCGGTGGCTGCATCTGGAGTTGCAGCCCGACCGCGGCTTCCTGGCGCCCGGCTTCACGCTCCAGACCGTGGGGCGCAGACCCGAGCCCGAGGCGCCGCGCTCGGACCCAGCCGGCGACCTGGCGCACTGCTTCTACTCGGGCACCGTGAATGGCGACCCCAGCTCGGCCGCCGCCCTCAGTCTCTGTGAGGGCGTGCGCGGCGCCTTCTACCTGCAGGGCGAGGAGTACTTCATCCAGCCCGCGCCAGCCGCCGCCACCGAGCGCCTCGCCCCCGCCGCCGCGGGGGAGGAGCCGCTGGCTGGGCCGCAGTTCCATCTCCTCCGGCGGAGGCGGCGGGGCGGCAGCGGCGCCAAGTGCGGGGTCATGGACGACGAGACCCTGCCGGCTCGGGGCGCGGGGCCGGAGGGCGAGGATGCTGGGGCGCAGTGGCTGCCGCGGGACCGGGCGACACCAGGCGCAGGACAGACTACAGGTAGAAGAGTTGCCCTCACTGTCTCTCCATTCATCCTTCTCTCCTCACTCTCTCTGTGCGACGGGACTTGAGGGCGGACTCCTGCTTACCGGCAGGAGCTCGTGTCTGCGGACTGGACGGAGGGAGGTTTGGGTTGCTGAATTCAGCTAGAAACCTTAATTCCATTTGCCCGAATAATGAATAACCAAGAAAGGACTGACAAATCAACGGTTTTCTACAGACGAAAGCGAAGCGTTTTGACCAGGAAGGGAGAGTTTGTAACCTGACTCCTTCCACCTTTAGTTGAGTGCGAGCTTGTGCGACGACTTTCCATCCCCTTTATTTCTTTTTAACCATTTGTGTGCAACTTTGAGCTGAGTTTTGTAACCACTGCCCGTGCGTGCACCCTGCGCTCACAGGAGGGGGGTGGCGGAGGGGCGACGGTGACCTCGGAATGTGCCCGCGCGCCTGGGCAGCTGTGCTACGACCTCTGCTCTGCAGGTTTCTGTCGCCTTTCCCCCTCAAAGGCTGACAGAGACAGCCTGGTGGCGGCTGGGCCCCTCAGCAAAACCTGCTTGGGAGGTCTTACCCAGCTTTCCCCGCCTCCCTGCGCCTCCTACTCCGCCTCCCAGCTTGCACTCCCTCTCGCGGCCATAATTCTGCTCTGGAGCGCCGCAGAATGTTAGTCACCGCAGGTCCTTCCTGCGAGCCGCCTGCTGACTCTCTTGTATGCAGTGCTTACTCTCCATTTCTTTTTGTTTTATCACGTTAGTGCCTTTTTTCTTCTTTCACTTTCTCACGTATCTTGTTTTCAGAATTCTCCCCTTTTCCCTGCTCGTCTGCTCCTGGGAGTGAGCAGTTACGTGGTCACAGGCCAGTTTAAGACTTCCCTGGGGGGTTGGGTCTCTGTCGGGAGTCTGAGGGCTCTCTTCCAAATAATCAACCTTGGCTCAAAGCAGGAACTTGTTTCCCTGGGGCAGTGGGAGTGGGGTAATAGGCTGCAGGGCAGAGTGGGTGGTCCTTGTGCCTGGAATTGGCAAGAGCAGAGAACCCCAGGGACCCCTTGGAATGAGAGAGCAGAGCAGTGCAGGCTGAGATTCCTTCAGGCCCGGCCCCTTGGCAGCAGCCCAGGCCCTACCCGAGGCCTTCCACGTGGAGCTTGATGATCTCATTCAGGATTTGAGTCCTGGCCTGTGAAAGAGTGACTCAGGGCCTCTGCCTGCTGCCCTTGCTCCAAGATTTTACTACAGCTGGGTAGGATGGTGTGCCTGCCTTGTTCAAATTGTAGAATTTCAAAAAGAACAGAAGAACTCCACACACACGCGCGCACACACACACACACAAAGCCTGACCACTCAAAGGAGCACGTGCTCTTTTTATTTAAAGCAAAGGAGACAACTTTCAAAAATAACACTGTCAGAAAAAAAGGTTGCAAATATTTTTGTTATTGTTGTTCCGGTTATATTTTAGTTTTATTTGCTTTGACTGGTTTGGGCTTTCCTTATATACTCTGGGAAGGTAACTATTCTTGGATAGCCTGCCCATGAGCAAACTATCTTTCTTGTTTCTTTACAGGAACTGGAAGCATAAGAAAGAAGCGATTTGTGTCCAGCCCCCGCTATGTGGAAACCATGCTAGTGGCAGACCAGTCAATGGCAGAATTCCACGGCAGTGGTCTAAAGCATTACCTTCTCACCTTGTTCTCGGTGGCAGCCAGGTTGTACAAACACCCCAGCATTCGGAATTCAGTTAGCCTGGTGGTGGTGAAGATTTTGGTTATCTATGAAGAACAGAAGGGGCCAGAAGTGACCTCTAATGCTGCTCTTACTCTGCGGAACTTCTGCAACTGGCAAAAGCAGCATAACCCACCCAGTGACCGGGATGCAGAACATTATGACACGGCAATTCTTTTTACCCGACAGGTGAGAGAGGATGGCACCAGTTATGCTATTGTCCTCTTGGGAGTCTGCATTGTACCTACCAAATGTATAAAAGACATTTCACCAGTGTTTTTTTGCACTGAAATTTTTTTAATTGGCTACATGGTCTTATTTATTTCTACTATAATTTAATACCTGAAGTTTCCCAGTTCTATTTTAAAGGCTTTAGGAAAAAGCTTGAGTAAAGTCACATGAAGTCCTCCTAATTCAATAGCAATGAACATAGATGCTCCAAAGCATATGTGAAGACACACCCAACCAAAAAGTTAGATCCCAAGGTTTATGCTTGTCTTATTAATTGGAATTTACCTTTGCTTTTTTGTAGGATTTGTGTGGGGCCCAGACATGTGATACTCTTGGGATGGCTGATGTTGGAACTGTGTGTGATCCAAGCAGAAGCTGCTCAGTCATAGAAGATGATGGGTTGCAAGCTGCCTTCACCACAGCCCATGAATTAGGTAAGTCTGTTTCAGAGTAGGAGTTAAGGTCAATTCACAAATTCAAATTGATAAAATAATTTAAGAGGGAGAATCTGCAGGTATGTTGCTATTTTAGGTACTAGCACATCTTAGATACTGTAAAAAATACTTTCCACTATTTCAAACATGGCTATTTTATTAGAATTAAAAATTAAGATATTAGAAGCTATGAACGTTTGGAAATTTACATTTGTTTACACCTTGAGAAAATAGACATTGTCTCTAAAATAGTGTCTCCTAAATATATTTCTTTCTCTAGAAACATCACTTTGAGACAAATGAATCTCTGTTGGGGAAAAAAACACTACAGATGATCTATATTTTAATGTGGGTTTTGGATTGCTTCCTAGGCCACGTGTTTAACATGCCACATGATGATGCAAAGCAGTGTGCCAGCCTGAACAGTGTGAACCGGGACTCCCACATGATGGCATCAATGCTGTCCAATTTGGATCGTAGCCAGCCTTGGTCTCCCTGCAGTGCCTACATGATTACGTCATTTCTGGACAATGGTCACGGTAAGACGCTCAAGCTACTCTTTCTAGACAGCATCCAACCTCTCATGTGTTGGGTCTAGTTAAATGAGTTCTTTCTTTTTTGTTCTTTTCATTTTCTCTCCTTCAAAGTTACTTTTCCCTGTCAAGATCATAACTGTTCAGATCGTAATTCCCAGTAAAAGATAGTGCCTCTGGTTGAGTAGCCCTCAAAGTCCATTGATTCATGTTTTTAGCAGAACAAGAATTTTGTGTCATTGTTAATACAGAAATAGCCCATTGAGAGAATATCTTACAATCAAAATCTCTCTAGTATCTCCCCCAAGCTCTACAGTTTTCAATTCACTTTGCTATGCATTATTTCATATGATAAATATTTTTAAATGGTGCTCTAACCCTACATGCTTTCATTAACTATTTATTAATATTGGCTGGCATTTTCTTTGCAGGGGAATGTTTGTTGGACAAGCCCCAGAGTCCCATACAGCTCCCTGCCGATCTCCCCGGCACCTTGTATGATGCCAACCGGCAGTGCCAGTTTACATTTGGGGAAGAGTCCAAACACTGCCCCGATGCAGCCAGCACGTGCACCACCTTGTGGTGTACCGGGACCTCTGGCGGCTTGCTGGTGTGCCAAACCAAACACTTCCCTTGGGCAGACGGCACCAGCTGTGGAGACGGGAAATGGTGTGTCAACGGCCAATGTGTGAACAAGACTGACAAGAAGCATTTTGACGTGAGTTTTCCTCCTGAAATATCCAGAATTCAAAAGAACAAAGTGTTGCTAAAACATGCAATACCAAGTTGAACACCTCCATCTGTGTCCTCTAGCGGGAATTCAAGATAGCTTATTTTTAGAATTGATGCTTTCTCCCATTTTTTTTTCTTTTTTTCCTAAAAGGTCTCTTTTGAGAATTCTAATGCTGATGATTTTGTGTCCCCATTTAGACGCCTGTTCATGGAAGCTGGGGGCAGTGGGGGCCCTGGGGGGACTGTTCGAGAACCTGTGGTGGAGGAGTTCAGTATACAATGAGAGAATGCGACAACCCAGTCCCCAAAAATGGAGGGAAGTACTGTGAGGGCAAACGTGTGCGCTACAGGTCATGTAACATCGAGGACTGTCCAGATAATAATGGTGAGTAGCAGCGGACTCCGACTTTCAGAAGTGGGATAAGAAAGATACGCCCTTAAACAGGTGATTAAAGGTTGGAAACTGATGATGTCATCATATCATTCTCTTCCAGGAAAAACCTTCAGAGAGGAGCAATGTGAGGCACACAATGAATTTTCCAAACCTTCCTTCGGGAGTGGGCCTGCAGTGGAGTGGACACCCAAGTATGCTGGTGTCTCACCCAAAGACAGGTGCAAGCTCATCTGTCAAGCCAAACTCATCGGCTACTTCTTCGTTTTACAGCCCAAGGTAGTTAACTTTTACGCTAATTTTTGCCTAAAAACCAAGGCTTTGGCTTGTGACCTATCCATGCAACCTTTCATGTGCTTTCTTTATTTTATATATTAACATGTGTTCAGTTTCAATTTTGAATACCTTTTCTTCTGTCTACATTGGCAACTGCCTGCTTACAGTTTGGTTTTGCTTTCAGTTATGAATGAAACTCAAATCCAACACTTAAGATTCTTGTAATTGTTTATTATTACTCTTTTATATAAAAAGATAAGCTCTTTGAAAAATCAAGTACTCCTCCCTATAACTAGTTTCACACACAACTCATGGCCAGATAAATTATGTGTTCACACAGCATAGACTGGTTAGTCATTTTAGAAAGTAGTTTAGGCATGGTCCAAAGTACTTGTTACTGAGTGACTAGCAGTAGCCTGTGCAAACAGACTTACTAAAAGGGAAGTCTGAGCATTGATAATTATTACGTCTGAGGACATATATCGAACTAGGAAAAGCATTACTTTTGCTGTTTTAATGGGGGAATAAATATGGCGTAAGGTAGAAATGGAATTTAATTTGATCGAGATTATCATGTCATTAGCTCTGTTTGCTATGAAAATATTCCTAAATTGCAGATTTAATATTCAACAAATGATTTATGAAGCACCTACTGCTGCCAAATGTTATTCCAGACACTGAGGATACAGTAGTAAACAAGTGACAAAGAACTCTGCTTTCATTGACTGTAGCTAGAGGAGAGATAGATCAATAAACAAATAATCAAAAGACAATTTTTTAGATGTCTATATATGCTATTGAAAAAAAGCCAAAATGAGTGTAACATGTATGAAGGGTATGATTTTTAATTACCATAGGCAGGAAAGCAGAGAGAACGTTCATTCTTCTTATAGCATCGTCTTCTTCCCTTGCTAATGTGTAACACAAGACACGTGTTTTTGTCTCAGGTCATAGATGGTACCCCATGTAGTCCGGACTCTACCTCTGTCTGTGTGCAAGGACAGTGTGTAAAAGCTGGTTGCGATCGCATCATAGACTCCAAAAAGAAGTTTGATAAATGTGGTATTTGTGGAGGAAATGGCTCTACGTGCAAGAAAATATCAGGATCAGTTACCAGTGCAAAGTAAGTTTAACATACATCTTCTCAGAGACCTTATGATTTAGATGGACATTTTAACAGGTCGGGAGGAAAATACATTACAAAGGATTAACATGTTTCAAAGCTACGTGATCTACTTAGCCAATGAATGAGAGTTATGTGTATTTGTCTTGCCTACAGACCTGGATACCATGACATTGTCACCATCCCAACTGGAGCCACCAACATTGAAGTGAAACAACGGAATCAGAGGGGATCCAGAAACAATGGCAGCTTTCTTGCCATCAAAGCTGCTGATGGCACATACATCCTTAACGGTGACTTTACCTTATCCACTTTAGAGCAAGATATTACATACAAAGGTGTTGTCTTGAGGTACAGCGGCTCCTCTGCAGCGTTGGAAAGAATTCGCAGCTTTAGCCCTCTCAAAGAGCCCTTAACCATCCAGGTTCTTACCGTGGGCAATGCCCTTCGCCCCAAAATTAAATACACCTATTTTGTGAAGAAGAAGAAGGAATCTTTCAATGCCATCCCTACTTTTTCAGAATGGGTCATTGAAGAGTGGGGTGAATGCTCTAAGTCATGTGGGTTGGGTTGGCAGAGAAGAGTGGTCGAATGCCGAGACATTAACGGGCAGCCTGCGTCAGAGTGTGCGAAGGAAGTGAAGCCGGCCAGCACCAGACCTTGCGCAGACCTGCCTTGCCCCCACTGGCAGTTGGGGGATTGGTCGCCGTGTTCCAAGACTTGTGGAAAGGGTTACAAAAAGAGAACCTTGAAGTGTCTGTCCCATGATGGGGGGGTGTTGTCTCATGAGAGCTGCGATCCTTTAAAGAAACCTAAACATTACATAGACTTTTGCGTGATGGCAGAATGCAGTTAAGCAGTGTCAGTTTTGAGGGCAAGGCAAAAGTGAGGAAGGACTGATGACTGACATCGAGAAGGCAGGAGGGATCCAGTGTATCTTGCCGGTAATCCAGTGAGGTGTGTCATTAAGGTGGGATTGTGGAGGTAGGTTGAAAGGAGATAAATCATCAGAGTAAACTGCCAGTTACAAATTTGATAGGGTAGTTAATGAGGATTATTAACCTCTGAGCAGTGATATAGCATGATAAAGCCCCAGGGCATTATTATTACTTCTTTTGTTACATCTATTACAAGTTTAAAAAAAAAATACAGGAGCAATTACCGAAAAAAGTAAGAACTGTTACCACCCCTTGTTTCCTGGTACTGATTAAATACTTTGTGTCATGGGTTTGGGGAATGAAAAGCAGGAGAAAGATGAGATTTTGCTTAAGACCTGGCTTACTCAACCTTGCTAATAATGAAGGGAGAGAGGAGTACAAGTAGGATGTTTGATCAGCACTGTTTATGGCTCCTTTGCTTTGAGAAAACTTTTATCCATCTTTTCTACCAAGACTTAAGAGTTTGGGGTGTTCAACACGAGAGAAAAACTCAGCAATATGAGTTGACTCACACAGCTCCATCTGCACCTTCTTGTACCACCTCAGTCTTTATTTGTATAATTCGTTTTGAGGAAGAAACAAGTCCATGTGTTGATAAAATTGCATTAAATCTACGCAGCAAAGTATTAGGTGCTGGTAAAAAATAGAGGAGATGCAATGAGCTTGGTACCTCCAACCTTTCTTCCCTACTGTGTAAGCCCAGTTTGGTTATGTGGATGGGAAAAAGTAATTTGTGTCTAAAGAAAGTGAAATCACACAGAAGGATGCAATGCCAGAAAAAGAACGGGGTGTGTAGAACAGGGTCCCACAGGTTTTTGGGGACATTGAGATCACTTGTCATGTGGAGGGGAGTCTGCCGAGGGGTAGCAGGTCCATCCCTGGCAGCTGGCCCAACAGTCGTATCCTGGTGAATGTCTGTTTAGCTCTTTTGTGAGAAAGAATACAACTTTTTCAGTATGTATATAGTAAAATATGTTACTATAAATTATATGTACTTTATAAGTATCAGTTTGTGTGTTCCTTCTAAGAAGGGCTGTAGTTTGTAATAAATGCCTATAATAACATATTTATTTTTATACATTTATTTCTAATAAAACGTTTTAAGTTATATCGCTTTTGTAAAAGTACATATAAAAATAGAGTATTTATACAATATATGTTACTAGAAATAATAAAAGGACACTTTTTGAATGTGTGTGTCTGTTTTTTTGTTGTTGTGAGAATTCCTGGGAAGGAAATCTGAGAGACAATCATCGAATCTGAAGACTGAATTTTTTCTGAAATTCTTTGGCAATAGGATTTTGTTCTAATGAAATATATTTCTTATATCCTTGGTTTATATGATTGCTAAAAAGAAAGGAATCTCTGGTGATATATAACTTTGTTGCAATGTATCTGATAATATACACCAGTGAATGAGACCCTGTCTCAAAAAAAAAAATATATATATATATATATAAATATATGTGTGTATAGATATACACACACACACATGAGTGGCTGGCAAACTTGAACCAGATAGTAAACATTTACAGTTTTGTGGGCCATACAATCTGGGTCACAATTACATAATTATGCTGTTACAGCATAAAAGTAGCTGTAAATAATACGTAAATGAATTGACATGGCAGTGTTCTAATAAAACTTTATTTACAAAAACAAGTGATGGGATGGGTGTTCTGTGAACTAAGTTTGTCAACCCCTGATGTATACCATAATGAAAAATCTTGGGGTTCTAGATGCTTTTTGAATTCACATCTCTTTCTCAATTATATCACGTGAGTAAAAATACATGAAAGTATTTAAGCTACTGACTAGAAAGTAACTCATAAGTTATATTTGGGACAGACATACACAGTGATCCCAACCCTCCAAATGTTTCCCTTGCTCATCTGGAATACCTGAGATATTTGGGATAAAGCTTGGAAAACCCAGGCTTCACTGGGTAGTCTTTGTAAATCATTATTTTAAGTACTAAATGGTACATCAATGACTTTAAAAGTTCAAACGGCTTCCAAAGGAATGGCATTTCTCCCAGGAAATAGTTTATTTCCTAAAAGATTCAGATTATGTGGTTAAGCATTGACATTTCCAACTTTACGTTTTCGTCCCTTTTTTCCACCCTCCTTAGAATAATTTTTCTTGGGTATTAAAATATAGCATGCTGATTTCAGATTCAGATGATAATTTCTCGTTTGCCCTCATAATTATGCAAGATGTTCTTCCCTCTGCTCCCCCACCAAGCAATGAAGATGATTCTCATCAGCTCACGGGACATTCTCTAAGATTGACCATATCCTAGGACACAAAGAAAATCTCAAGAAATTTAAAAAAATAGAAATCATACCATGGAAGGCCAAATTCTGTGTTTAAATGAGTCTGTAAAAAACTAGTTCCCACAATGTGGGATGACTTGACCTTCCCTCTCTGTCCTATAGTCTAATAGGTAGGAAGACAGTGAACCAGAAATTAACATGATTCCTCTTTACACACCAGTCTTTGTACCTATGCACCTGACTCCTGA